GGGTCTCCATAAGCCAGAAGCAACTTAATAAGTCAGAGGCAATTTGATGACACATAACATACACACAGTAAGAATATCAGGTCTCTGTGGTGTAAAGGTATAAAAGGAGAAAGCTTAAGAAATGTCCATTTTTGTACTACAAGTCTTAAGAAACCTCTAGCCTCTGAAAAGAGCTCCGTGTAAGATGGATACTTGAGCTTGTTGACTCAAGCCAAACAAAATGCGTAATAGAGGCTGTTAATGCAGCCTGGTGGTCACACGCCAAGTGTGACACATCTGTTCTGTTGACGGATTGTGATACCTTTTCCGTGTCCTGGCAGTTCCTGCTCATGCTCACCCTGCATGGCCTCTCAATCTGTTCCTGATATTTTTTTTAAACGCTAGCAGAATTTGGCTGCGTTAAAAAAAAAATCATATAAGCACTGATCCTCTAAGCTAAGGGACTCTCTTTACTCCAAACACATTTTGTTGTTACTTTTTGCAAATATGGAAGAGGATAATTCAGGTTCCTCATATCTGTTGCAAGCCACTATTCAGCATCTTGCAAATGTTTAATAAATCATTTAAGGAATATTCAGAAAGAGCTTCACTCAGAAAAAGGCCGTTCCTTAAAATACTGCACAGCACAACCCGACAAAACACCAAATGTGTTTAGGGTTGTATGGGTTAGAAAAACATGCCAGCCAGGCGAGTCACAGTAGAGGGGTATAAACTTGTGCAGGTTTTGGAGAACCTGGATAAGGAGAAGATTTTTCTCTCATCTCATAATGCTAGAACTGGGTTGTCCACAGAAGCTGAACGGTTGGAGACTTAGGGCAGATAAAAGGAACAATTTTGGTACAAAGGGCTAGAGTGCTGGATTAGAATTCAGGAAACCTGGGTTCAAATGTCTGCTTGTCCTTGAGATCATAAGATGACTTTGGGCCAGTCATAGTCTCTTAGCCTGACCTACCTCATGGATATGTTGTGAGAAAAAAGTAGAGAGGAGGCCGTGCACAGTATCTTGAGTTCACTGAAGGAAAGCAGCATGTCAGTGAAATAAATGAAGTCTATTGCCACACAATGCATTAATGGAGGAGTTCACTGCTAGCAAGAGATGTAGTGGTGGCCCAGTTTAAATGGCTTTAATACTGGATTGGACAGATTCATGGAGGGGGCTATCTGCTGGTCATGATGGTTTTCCCCCCGAGGTGACTATCTGTATTAGTTGCTGGGAAAGATGAGAAGAAAAATTCTGTTGCCCTCATGTTTTGTTTGTGAGCTGTGGACAGGCAACTGGTTGGCTACTGTGTGAACAAATGGCTGGACTAGATAGCCTTTGGTCGGATTCTGCAGAGATTTATTATCCTCTGTACAGAATGTTCCAGGAA